GTGTGTTGTGGGCTATGGGGTGTGGATTGTGGAGGCAATTGAGAAATTATTCATTCAATTATCCATTAGTGGAATAATTGAAGTGACAATAAATTAGGGGAACTGATGGCGAGATAATGGGTCCGCGATTGGTATAATTGGAGGTATAAAATGTGAAGTATAGTCGTATTGAATTGTGAGATCGGTTTAGCCGATGGAAAATCATAACTGGTATATGAAATGTGGATTTGCGTACAAACTATGTCACACTTAAGAGGAAAGTCGTGTCTATTGGCTGCAAGTATCTCATAATACAAGGTGTCATGTCTTGATAGATAGTTATCTGTTGTGAGCGATTGGTTGTGCAAACAAATCAAGTTTTACGCGATTTCATACAAAAAATTGTTTTCGGAATTTCCTTTTCAAATAAAGTTTTACATCAAACTTACGATTCCAACGCTATATTCATTGTCATCCTTTCTCTCATGACATCACTACTGATGCCAATAAAGTTTCCACAACTGTTCGCGCATTCATTACAATTGTTTAACTTTTGTTTCAAATCAATAACTAATTGGATTCAATGTTTCGACTAAATGTTTAGTGAAATTGTATGCAAAAAGTGAATTCATTTTCGAAAATATGAAATAATTTTTTAATTGTTTATCGCATTTGAAAAGTCTCTGTCATTAACGTTGCCTTGAAGTCAGTGATAGAGGAAAACAAGCCATCAAATAATTATTCAACTTTTTTGAAGCACTTTTCAAATGAATTTTCTCTCATACGATAGTGAATATAATTGTGCACTCATTTGGCAACTGTTTTCTAACTAAACATCACATACTTTTACTATACAATTATCGTAACATAAGTACCAGTAGTGGCACCAGTAGTCTTACCACTGGATCATCGACTCAACCCAACATCAAAGTAATGCTCAAATTGATCTCATTTTTATCATAATGTTAATTCTTTGAAAAATATACTTATAAATAAACATAACTTTAATATTTAAATAATTTTTAAATGTTAATTAGTTTTAAATGAATGACAATACCATTTGTTGTATAGTTGTTTAATACCTAGAATTTTCTAAATTGAATGCAAATCAATGCAAAGTCAGATGTTTTTTAGACAGAAATATGGGTTTCATTTGAGGAAACTTTTGCTGAATAATGATTGCATGACTTTTGGCAGAAACAGAGGCGTCGCACACATCGGTTCCCATCTTAGGATGAATAACAACAACAGCGCGAAGAAAGTGAAAATGAATGGCAACGGAGAGTCCGTTATCGACAATATTCGCCGGGAATACAGCGACTATAAGGGAGGAGCTCTTCAGCTCACCAAAGACGACACCACAGGAATCGCCGACATTTGCATCAATGCTTTCGAGCGGAGGAATGCGTTGTCCGGGACTATGATGTCACAGCTGTCGGACATCATCACCCAATTGGAGCAATGGGAACAAGTATTGCATATTTTCATTGCATTTCTTATAGCGATTCCTAGTGTTTGATGAGATAATAAGGATTTGCATTGTATTCACACTTTGGGTGTTTAGGGAAAGGCTGTCATAATCCACGGCTCGAATGGATTTTTCTCATCGGGCGGTGATCTCAATACTGTCCGCAATATCGACAACTCCGACGGCGGGCGACGAATGGCTCTCTTAATGCACGACAATTTGAGTCGATTACAAGCCTTACCGCTGCTATCAGTGGCTCTAATAGAGGGCAAGGCGTTGGGCGGCGGCGCGGAACTGACGACTGCCTGTGATTTTCGGGTCATGTCTCGGGAGGCGGAGATCGGTTTCGTTCACATCAAGTTAGGCGTGACTACGGGGTGGGGCGGCGGCACTCGTTTAGTGCAAATGCTGGGCCCGTGTAAGGCATTAGATGTGATGATGTCGGGCCGACTCATCAAAGCCGCCGAGGCTTTAAATATAGGACTCGTGCAACACGTGATCAGTGATTGCGATACAAACGACTCTAATTGTGTTTTGAGTAAATGCCACGAATGGCTCAACAGTTACACCAGACATAACGCGGCGACCCTTAGGGCCATCAAAGGCATAGTCAACTCCGCCCGTTGGCTGCCCACCGATGAGGCCCTCAAGAAGGAAGTGGAGTACTTTGCGTCGGTATGGGGCGGACCGGCTCATCAAAAGGCTTTAGGCAGTAATATTAAACACAAATAAGTCGATTGTTATGTAGTTTTTATACATTTAATTGTTATTTCAATTACTTTTTTATTTGATTTTTTGTTTTTATGGTTTGATTAGAAAATAATAATATAATATACAATAATGTTATGATTACTAATAACTAGTTATTCATTTTGGAAATGTCTTCGTATTTCAACTTTTCCACAACACGTCCTTTCGAAACGTCGGAATCGATTCGTATTTTGACGCAAAACTTGTCGTAATTCACGTCTAAAAGTGTTGCCTCTAATCCGCGATACAATCCCCTCAATACAAGCACTTTGCGGCCGATTTGCGGGATAACAGTCTCGACGTGTTTTTGGTCCAATTTTAAGACATCGTTTGTATCCAATACTCGCAAAACACACGTATACTTGTCCTCAACCTTCTCGACCACTCCTTTCCTTTTGTAGTACTTCTCGCCCAAAGAGTCGGTCACTATTTTCACTACAATTCCCCTTAATAGCCAGTAGTCGTGTTTTGCCGACTTTTGGCGCAGTTTTTCCTGCTCTTCAATTATCTGATCCAACGCTGACTTCTTGTTTTGGGAGTCTTTAGTATTCAATTTACGTTTAGAACTGCAGACAGAGATGGTATCGCTTTTGTCCGCATTCTTCAATTCATTGTAACCTATTTTAAAGCCATTTGTCGTCGACTGCGAGGCACTAGATGTGGACGCGGAGGTCTCGGCGCCCGCTTTGGCCTCACTTTTGCCTAAACCAAGACTAAACGCTATCTTCTGTTCTTCGCTTTCCTTCTTAAACTCCTTAGCCTTGAGATCGTTGTCTTCAGCGGCGGTGTTGTCGTCATCCCTATTATGACCGCTACTATTGGTCTCCAATTGTTTGCCTCTTTCGATCTGATCGGCGATATTCTGCTGACACCTCTCCTCGTAGTCCTTCTCAGTCCTCTGCCGTCGCAACAGATTCTTCTGTTTCATCACTTTCTCGGGGTCTCTGTCGATGTAAGTGATGAACCATCCCTTCTCGGTGTTGTCCACGTGACAGATGCCCTTCCGGCCCATCCACTTGACGAGCCCGGAGAGAGTGACCCAACGCGTGGCGTTCATATGCAAGTGATCCCTCTCTTTGATGTACTCCTGATAGACCTGATTCGCGAACACTCGACGAGTGCTGAACCGAGTCTTCAGCAGATGGAGGAAGTCTTTGAGGAACTCCTGAGAGAAGGCGTCCATATATTTGTGCGGATTGTCGGCGAAGAGGAGGAGTTGTCTTTGATGTGATTCCGACGTCGAGTGGCATTTGAAGCCATTCTCGTCGCGACACTGTTTTTGGCACATTTGGCAAAACCACTTCAACTTCTGCAGGCCTTTCGATTTGATCCGCTTTCCGATCGCCTTCGGAGTCAACGCCTCGTGTTTCGGCATTTCTGACCACTTCTTCTTCGGGCACTTCTTCGACAAATCGCTTCAAGTATTGATTCAATGAGTCATTTAATGCACTAATTGTTTGCCAATTAAGCGATCGTTTCTTTCGTTACGTTTTGTTTTCAAAACAATAATAAAAATGAATTTATATTTCGGTTCACAAATCAATGATGTCTTCAATAATGTCATCAAAACTTGTTTTCTTTGGAAAACACTTTCCTTTCAATGAAATGATGGGAAACAAGAATTGATGAAAATATCTTAATTAATGCAAGATTTGTGTCACTTTCCCGATCACTGCCCTCCCGGACAGCCATCCTATGGATGATCACATCCACAGCCCCTCTAACCCCTTCTCGCACACAAATATCACCACAATATTCAGACCTAACCATTACTTTACTATGAGTTTGTGGCAAATCAAATAAAATGATATTCATAATTTATCATGCAACTTATTAATTAAGTAGCTTAGCTAGGTACCGGTGAGGCCGGTTCACTGATGATGGTTATTTTAACTATTAGTAGAATTGCGGCAATTGATTGAATGGATATACAAAAGCGATACAACTGTGCAAATAGTGTGAAAATAGAAATGACTATATATTTAGGGTTACTATAAGTGAAGTGTATCTGTATTTATAGGATATAAATATAATTACAATTTCTATAATTATTGTCCATTTGTTCCCAAATTCTCGA